CGCCAGCGTGATGCGCGGTGACGGAGTCGATGATCAAGACGGAGTTCTTTTTCCCAGTTTTCATGATATTTATGTCCGGATGGGTGGCACGCGTGATAGGTTCTCCGTTCAAGCTCCATTGCGTCTCGATCGGTGAATCACCCTTCAAGATGCTACACATCGCGGACACTTGCTCGCCCCAGTTAGCCGGTTCCTCGCCGATTGAGAATGGCGCGATCTGTGGAGCGACTAGAAACAATGCCCTAAAGCTATTCAGTTCTTTCCACGGAATCTGTTTCGGTCAGTCTGTCGGTGTCGTTGGACGAAAACAAAGGTGGGATTGGACAAAACGGGACGGGGAAAGAAAGGAGAGTCTCGAACATTTTTGTGGACGCGTGCTAGCGAAGAAGGGAAGTGATAGCAGTTTCGTTCGTATCTGACGGAGCCTATTCGTGCAATGTCTGTACCGTTGACGGCCAAGGTAGCCGAATAGCTCGTCGCTCCGGCTGCGTTCGAGGCTGTACACGTGTATTCTCCGGCATGTCTGGCGCTCACGGCTTCGATGGTCAACAGACTGACTCGTTTCCCGGTGCTCGATATCGAGATATCGCCGTGATTTTCGCTGGTGATGGGCTCTCCGTTCAATGCCCACGACATCTCTATGGGCAGGTCGCCCTTTACGATCGTGCACACCGCCGAAACCGCTTCGCCCCAGTTCGCGGGTTCGTCGCCGATCGAAAACGGCGCGATCTGCGGCGCGACTGAAAACGTTCACCCAAAATCGATCAGAGCGCGAGCGACCAATCGGGAATCCGCTAGCCCTCTCGTTAACCTAATTAACAGCCACAGGAATGGAGTTTGTACGAAAGGAATCCAATCGATCGTCGAATCTGGTTCATCGGTTGTTTCCTTCGCGAACGACGTCTCTAAAGCGTCGTCCCCCGTGAGTACGCGCCACGACGGGGTACGGGGGCAGGTATGAATATTGAATACGGGTGGATGATGATGATGATGATGTATAGGATTGAAAAAAGGAGGTCCCAGAACTCTCGCCTCCAGGCGTGTCCGTGTGACGCGCGTCTACCACACATGCGTGCGTATTACCGTTCACGGCTAACATAGCCGTGTGGCTCGAGGCTCCAGCTTTGTTCGACGCGGTGCAAGTGTACTCTCCCGCGTGTCTGGCAGCCACTGCATCGATCGCCAACACGCTCAGCCGCTTGCTTTTCGTCACAGTGTACTGATCCGTGCTCTTCGAATCGATCGGCACGCCGTTGAAAGCCCAAGATATGTCCATCGGGAAGTCGCCCTTCAGGATCGAGCAGGTCGCCGAGATCGCTTCGCCCGAGTTCACCGGTTCGTCGCCGAACGTGAACGGGAAGATCTGCGGTGCAACTTGGACAGAGAAACGCGCGTCGCGTGATAACGGCCACGAAGGAACTCGAGATACTCCTTTTTGATCTTCTCGTCGAGGAGAAATTTCAGGGAACAGACGGGAATATTTTTACGTTCGAGCGATTTTACGACAACCTGAAAGATCACCACCGCCTCCGTGGAGCATGTTTTAAAACACAGTTAGGACTGAAGGTGTTAAGAGCAAAAAGAGGATCGTCAATGGGCAAACGGCAAATGCAGCATGGATATTACTGTCGTTTAGGCGATGCTTGTGCAAAACTCGTTTTTACTCGTGCAAGAGCGTGCTTGTTGATAAATAGGTACCGTTCACGGCCAGAGTCGTCGAGTGGCTGACGTTTCCAGCTCTGTTCGTCGCTACGCACGTATACTCGCCCGCGTGTCTCGCCGCCACGGACTCGATGCTCAGTGCGCTCATATGCTTATTGATCCTCGTGATCGTCACGTCCGGATCGTTGAAACCTATCGTCCTATCGTTAAACTTCCACACGATCTTTACCGGAAAGTCGCCTTTCATAATCGAACAGGTAGCCGAGACCATGTCTCCCGAGTTAGCTGGTCCGTCACTGATCGAGAATGGACCTATATGCGGCGCAACTACAACGACATCGAAACTGTCTTTATTTAACGTTCGCCAACTTGGAATCGATCGATCGATATTCGCTTTATTAGGCCGCGTTCACGACCCCGTAGACGTCAGAGACGATTGACCTCGCGAGAATAGCGATCGAAAGTGTCGTTTAAACTGGATCGATGATCCGTGTCACGAGTTCCTAAACGTCATGGATGAAACGAACACGCGTCACCTCCTCTGTTCTTCGACGGAACGGGATAAGAAGGAAAGAGTATGGAACAGGTTGGTAGCATGCGCGAAAAGAAAACAGAGAAGTATTAGAAGGGAACATAAGGGAAGGTTAGCGTGTACCGTTTACTGCGAGAGATGCAGAGTAACTCGTCCCACCGGCTGCGTTGCTGACGGAGCACGTGTATTCTCCCGCGTGTCTCGCTGTCACGGCGTCGATCGTCAGCACGCTGACGCGTTTGCTGGTGTTTACTATCGATATATCGTAATGATTGCGAGAAATCGGCTCGCCGTTCAGAGCCCATTCGATCTGGATCGGGTGATCCCCTTTCAATACCGTGCACGTTGCGGTCACCGTGTCCCCCCAATTCGCTGGTCCCTCTCCGATCACGAACGGCACGATTTCCGGCGCAACTGCGGTTATCATAATAACAGACTACTTAACTCACGACTCGAAACGAACAAAAAGGTATTTCCTGTTCACGAATCGTGATTACCTAACCGAAGATCGCTGTCGTCGACGGATGGAATGGTGAGGTGAACGATGGAGTCGCGAACGGGACATGATGGGAAGCTATTTGGCCGAGTGTCGCGCATGCATCGAGAAAACAAAGCAAACCGGGGGGTGAAAAGGAACACGCATTGTACCGTTCACGGCCAAAGTCGCGGTGAAACTCGTTCCACCAGCGGCGTTGCTGGCCATACACGTATATTCCCCGGCGTGACTCGCCGTCACGGCGTCTATCGTCAGCAAACTGACCCGCCTGCTGGTC